GGTAAATACACCACAGTACCAGCTAAGGCAAGGCACTGAAGTGTTATAGCCTGACAGAGCTGACTTAGTTTAAAATGGGGTACTGATTCCTGTCATCTCCCTGTTCAATTCTGTGGTATGGCCTATGCTTAAAGCCATTACTAATATGAAAGCTAACTATAGACTACAAACAGTTAAATCAGACTATTCTATTCATTAGAGCACCTCTACCAGATATCATCCCCTTTATGACTGACATACAAAATAAGAGTAAATGATTTGGTGTAACACTTGGCTAAGTTGTTCTATCCCATAAAAATTCCATATGAGAGTCAGCCACACTTCACCTTTGAGGGTCAACAGTACACCTTTTCTGGTTTCCTATGGGGTATTTAAATAGCCCTGTGATTGCACACAGGCTTTGCTGACAGCACCTAGATACCTGCCTCACATTCCCATTAGAAACTTGGCTTTGGCATTATATTGATGATGTTCTCCTCAGTGGACCTGACCAAGACTCCGTCTTAAAGACCATCACAACTGTGAGTAAACATATCACTGAGAGGGGATCGGAAATTGCCCCATATAATACAGGGACCCTCCCAGTCTGTTAGATTTTTGAGCTGTTTGGAACGCAGAAGAGTGAATTATTCCAAATCACCCTAGAAGATAAAAACAAACTTGTAGGGCTCAACCTCCTACACTGGTAAAGGAGGCCCAAGATTTACTAGGAATGTTTACATTCTGATACCAACACATTCCTCACCTCCAATACTTGATGGCCTACAACAACCCTGTCATTTGTAAGTACTCGACTTTTCAGTGGAATTTGAGCAACAACAGGCTCTAGATAAACTAAAGGAGGCTATCATGTCAACTCTCCCATGAGTGCCCAGAGAGCAGGACTCACAATTAGAGGTTTCAGCTACCCCAAAATTTGCTACCTGCAACCTCTGGACCAAATGAACAGGTAAAGGATTAAGCATTGGCTTTTGGTGTAAGCAGCTTTCAGACTCAGCCCTAAAGTACTTTCCACTAGAGAGGAATCTCCTGAAGGCATAGTGGGAATATATCAAAACTGAAGCCCTTACTGGGGGAGAGCCAGTTACCCTGTGAACTAAGATTCCTATTATGCCCTGGGTAATGGAAAAAGATCCTGGTAGAATTGGGCTATAACAGAGGCCTCTTTGTTAAATGGAAACAATATCTAGAGGATCAAGTTAAACCTGGGTCAACTGGAGTATCACAACTCCATGAGGAAATAGCCATATACTCTGCTACTGAGGTTAACTCATCAAACCCTGCCACTCTAGCTCAATAGGGACTATAGAGAGGTTAGGCCACACTCTCAAAACAAAAAAGCAATGGTTTTTCTTGATTGATGGAGCAAGTATGCAGTACAAGGGAACCAAATGATGAACAGCTATATCCTGTCACCCCTATTCAAATAGTTCAATTTCCATTTGGGGAATAGACCAAAGTGTCCAATGGACTGTGCTGCATCCAATACTCCTAGCAATAGACAAACATACTCCTAAGGTTCATATTTTTTACCTACTACAGGTTGGTGGGTAATAAGCCACCTACTTGGTCAGGAATTTGGTAAAATCAAGGCTGGAAAATACAAGGTTGATATATTTAGGATAAAGAAACGTGGCAAAAAATTGCCACAGTGGCTCCCACTGGCCATCGTGGTGCATCATTCCTTGGCTCATACCAAACAAAAATAGAGGAGGCATGATGCAACACCAAGGATGACAAACAAAGCAAGTCACCAAAACAGATAGGTCTTTTGAAGGAAGGAGCATCACCAGAACTTGGGGATGAGTCGCTCTACTCCTTCTATCAGTGTAACATGAGAAGTCAGGGTTTTGGACATCATAGGGTTATGAAAATGAATTGTTAATAGAGGAGTCAACTCAGTAGAGAGATATTTACAGAAACCCATTAGGGACGGTACCACGTCAGAAATCTAGAAACTGGGTCTACTGCATGAGAGGAAAAATGCACAGAGGAGAAAAAGCCCACATTGTAACCGGACAATTCATTTCATTTGGTCTTTTCCTGCAGTGGCAGGAGCCATTAAATATGTCTTAACAATGGTAATAAACAGGCTTTTGTTGCCTTATTTATGCAATGCACTAACCTGTGGTAATGTCATTGCGGGGGTCAACAAAGGTGCTTTTTCAGCCATTGTGAGTACCATAAGTTACACACTCAGATCAAAGCTCTTATTTTGCCACAAAGCAAAGCAACAATGGGCATCACAAAAGAACACTGATTCCGGTTTCCACCTACCTTTTCTTCCTAAAGCATCGGGTAACTTAGAAACTCTGAGTACACCCTGGAAATCTGAGATGTGAAAAGACACACCTCCTCCGATGTCACAGATGTCCTAGCTAGGCTATTGCACACCATGGTTAAAATTCTTGTAGATATTTCATGTAATAACTGATCCTAGGCCAAAATTGTGCATGGAGTATCTAGCCAAGAGACAGGGAGGAGTACAGAACCCAGCAAGCGCCAACCTGAGGAGGAAATGTCTTCGTTAAAGTCAAACAGAGGCTGTCAGCTTGCATTGTAAGCAAAAGTTCTCTAAAATGGAATGCAGAGGAAAAAGACTTTATTCCAGTGAACAACTTGCAGACTGAAAACGCAGCCTTTAGTGTAAAAGGAAGGTGCATTCCAGAGAACATAGGGAAGGTTTCGCTTTTCTTTTCTTTTCTTTTCTTTTTTTTTTGAGACGGAGTTTCGCTCTTGTTACCCAGGCTGGAGTGCAATGGCGGGCGCGATCTCCGCTCACCGCAACCTCCGCCTCCTGGGTTCAGGCAATTCTCCTGCCTCAGCCTCCTGAGTAGCTGGGATTACAGGTACGCGCCACCATGCCCACCTAACTTTTTGCATCTTTAGTAGAGACGGGGTTTCACCATTTTGACCAGGATGGTCTCGATCTCTTGACCTCGTGATCCACCCGCCTCCGCTTCCCAAAGTGCTGGGATTACAGGCGTGAGCCACCGTGCCCGGCCAGGTTTCGCTTTTCTAGAGATGATTCTGTTCCGGTACCCAGTCAGGTTCGTGTATGCAACTTGCTCAGCACAGATGAGTCAACACAGCTGAGTTCTGATTGGTCAATATAGCTGAGCCCTGATTGCCTGAAGCAGCTGAACCTTGATTGGTTGGTTTAGGTGAGCTCTGAAAGTCCTGACTTTAAACAGAGTTGTGGGTTTTAGAGGTGTAGGTGTGTGACTGCTGGTCAGCAAATGGCCACTTGCCCATTTGGCTATACTTTAAATTTTTACATATTTGGCTATATTTTAAATTTAGGCCCAGTTAGTCACCTGGGATCCACCTGGAAGAGTTGCTTCTTTCAGGTTCACATTTGTTCCCACCATCTCTTATCATGTTTTTGAAAATAAATTGGTCAACCAACAATTTTTGAGCTATTTTCTTACCTAGCCTCTGGGAACATGAGGCAAGGGGGACTTAATCCTTAGACAGTAGGTGAGGTGACTAAGACCCATGATACATTTAGAGGACTAGACAAATAACTTAATTTCTAATATACAATGGAATTCATGACAATGGTGGCTGTGCAGGTAAAAAGATTTGTCAAGTACATTGTAAGGCAAACGTTCATCGTTAGAAGGTATTTTCAATATTTAGGAAATTCACAACTTGTAGAGTATCTATAAAATGTTTCTTGAAACAAAAAACAGAGCCCTCAGTGTGGCCTGGTTCTCTTTAACTGGACAATAAATACAGTTTATCCCTCAGAAAGGGCTTAGAAAAATATTTTCTTTTTCTTTTTCTTTTTTTTTTGAGACAGAGTTTCGCTCTTGTTACCCAGGCTGGGGTGCAATTGCTCGATCTCGGCTCACCGCAACCTCCGCCTCCTGGGTTCAGTCAATTCTCCTGCCTCAGGCTCCTGAGTAGCTGGGATTACAGGCACGCGCCACCACGCCTGGCTAATTTTTTGTATTTTTAGTCGAGACGGGGTTTCACCATGTTGACCAGGATGGTCTCTATCTGTTGACCTCGTGATCCACCCGCCTCGGCCTCCCAAAGTGCTGGGATTACAGGCTTGAGCCACCGCGCCCGGCCAAAAAATATTTTCAGAAAAAGCCAGGAGGAGCGAGAAGGGGGCAAGGCAGCAGCAAGAAAGGGGGGATTCATCCAGGTCGACACGGGCCCAACACAAGGAACATGTGCCCTTTCGTAGAGGGTATTCAACTAGAGACACAGAAGCTGACACAAAGACATTGCAACACCAACAGTTGCAAACGTAATTTTTAAAAACAGAGAGAAAGGCTGTGCAGTGTAAGGGTTATTCAATGCAGTAAGCACTGTGAAGTTTTCTATACTTGTACCCTAACACGGATTCATTTCTAAAAGCCAATAGGCAATAAACTTTCTCAAGGGGCACACTGTTACTTTTTTAATTGTGTTTCTGGTTTTTTTTTGCTTACTTTTTGCAGAGTGCATCTAAGCAGCTGGCACATTCTGCAAATCCAGTCCCAAGCTCCAGTTCCTGGAGGCCTGAGAAGCATGGCAGGCTCCTAAGTTAATTTCTTGTATGTTAGCTTAATTTCTAACCCCTGTCAAGTACCAACTACTGGATTTGGAGGGCTGGGAGAAGAGGAAACATTTCTACAAGGCCTCTGGAACTGTCATGAGGTCGGCCTGTTGCACCTGGCAAATCCGCTTGCCCAATTTTGCACAGCAGCTTCCTCTGGGAAGACTCTCCACCAAGACCAGAGCATGCAGCTAAGATGCAACTTGGAGACCCAAGTTCGACACCCACGCATGCCCATCTACAGCACAATGCATGCAAGCGTCCTCCCACCCTGCTCCCCAACACCCCGTGGGGCGAGGCCAAGCCCCTGACGCATGCGCACCTCAGTAGCCCCAGCCCACACAATGACTGATAGGCAGAAGAAACCCAAGAGAGGAGGTCTCTAAATGGATACACTGTAAGCAACCGAGTCTACCCGCCAAAAAAAGAAGACCCTCCCAGACTTTGAGTCACAGTTCTAGTCCCGCCGAGGAGATAGTAGGAGCTCCTAGCTCAGAGTCTGCAGAAGCGTACAGCTCCATCCACAGCACTGACGGCATGGAGCCACTGGACAGGTCCAGCCAGGGAACTACCAGCTTGCTCAGTCCTGAAGTCGACGAGGAAGACGTACTACAGGGTCGGTACCTGGACACGTGCTTTAGCAATCTCAGGAAACTGAGGTTCCCTGTGAGAGGCTAGTGGACTGGACGGTGGCCTGGCACCACCACTGCTCTGAGTGCAGCCCTTCAGAGCCTCCTTCCCACAGCCTCCGCTCCAATGCCTTGATATTTCTCTTTCGGTTTCTACTTTTCCAGGTGTGGAGGCTGCGGTGCTGTCTCTTATTGAAGAGTCCGACAAGGAGGAAGAGGAGGCACAGCCCAAACCTGAGCAAGGCACAGCGGCAACAGCACAAAAGTCGGCAGGAGCCAACGGCGGAGAAGAAAAAGTAGGTGGCGGCGTTGGTACAGGAGCTCCTGGCCCCGTAGAAGACGAAAACCACGAGGGCATCAGCAGCAGCAATGGCAACGATGAGCACAGCAAGGACAACAACCAGGAACCCGGACAGCAGGAGCCGCCCCGCCAGGGTGCCAGCTCGGGACCAGAGCCTGATAACATGGAGCGGCCTTTCGTCCACCCCTTCACGCCATCCCAGCGGCGGGAGCTGGAAGGCATTTTCCGACGCACACAGTTCCCCAGCGAGTTCCTAAGGTAAGCCGGTTGCTCTAGTTGGCGGCTGTTTGCAGGGAGCACGTGCTGCTCCAGGGCAACATTTGGCTCTCCCCCAGTCCCTCTCCACCTAAATCCCCTCCTGAACCAAAAACCACCTAGGGCCTGGAGTCGCTGCCGTCTCCTCCCCGCCGACCCCTGGCACCTGGTGTGTTCTGGAGTGGGGCTATGCCTACTGGGCATCATGCAGAATTTAAATGAACCAAGTTGGGCAACTCTGGCCTGAGGTCTGTTATGATAAATAACTCGTAACTCAACCAAGGCAGAAATAAAGGTGAGAAGCCTAAGGCGTAGTAAGCAAGTGCAGGGTCGCATACTGCCTTTATTTAAAATTCTGAGAAGTCTGTCGTTTGTCATGGGTTTCTTTGGCATTAATTTTTCTAAGTTTCAAATATTATATTACAATATTATTTATCTTGATTTTTTTTTTGGCATCTCCTTAATTTGGGGCCTGAGAGAAAAGTTCCTAATGTGAGGCTCAGCTGGATGTTACAGAACAGCCTACTGGGTGTAGGGGAGTTAGTGGAATAAAAGATTAAATACAAGAATGAAATGATACCCACAAATCCAAATGCTGAACATATGTGGTTTCTTTCCGCAGAAGGGCGCTTGCAAGACGCATGAATGTGACTGAAGTCGTAGTGCAGGTCAGTAAATGGGAAAAAGCAATCGGGCAGGGCAGCCATTCTAAAACCTGCTTCAGGGCTTAGACACAACTTGGACCTAGACATTACCATGTTGGTGTTTTTGTTGCCTTTTTCATGTATGGAAAATGAGGTGTGAACTTTGGGATCCTTGTGGCTGGAAAATGGGGTGAGAAAAGCTGGCTTGTGGAAATTTCTCATTACCAGAGGGAACATGACTATCCACGGGAAAAAAAAATTAGTACTGAATTCTTTCCTGTATTCCTGTGTCTAAAATATGTTATATATTTAGATAAATTATATATGTATATATGTTCTAAATTACAAATATATATGTATATATTAATAAGAGTATAACTTAAATGTAGCATAGTATATGATAAGGTTCCACTCTTAGCACTGGTATACTCTAAGTAGCATTTTCTTTCTTTCTTTTTTTTTTTTCTTTTTGCAAATCAGTTTGAGCTTATGAGGTTGCTCAGGTTAGCCTTGAACTGATGACCTCGCCTTCGTGAGCGCCACGACCTCCGGCGGGAGCCACTTTGGGCCGCTCTAAGTAGCATTTTCATATGGAGGCATACTAGGGTGTCTGACATGGAAATTATCCAAAGAGCTCCATTAAACTAAATTATTCAATATATTTAAAACCAAACATAAACTCTTTGGTTAAGAATTTATAAATGTTAGGCCGGGCGCAGTGGCTCACGCCTATAATCCCAGCACTTTGGGAGACCGAGGCGGGTGGATCACGAGGTTAAGAGATTGAGACCATCCTGGTCAACATGGTGAAACCCCGTCTCTACTAAAAATAGAAAAAATTAGCTGGGCATGGTGGCGCATGCCTGTAATCCCAGCTACTTAGGAGGCTGAGGCAGGAGAATTGCCTGAACCCAGGAGGCGGAGGTTGCGGTGAGCCGAGATCGCGCCATTGCACTCCAGCCTGGGTAACAAGAGTAAAACTCTGTCTCAAAGAAAAAAAAAAAAAAAAAAAAAGAATTTATAAATGTTTAGGCATAAATGCTTGGTTTAAGAATTTACAAATGTTTAGGCATTGGGGTAAAGGAATAATTCACAACCAGAATATGTTTCCTTAAGCTGAGACTCATAGGCAAGGGATAGCATAAAGTTTAATTGCCTGGCTTTCCTATTGTTGTTTTTAAGTATTTGGTAAAGCCTTGTAGAGAGTGGCAGCTCTAACTTTTAATTTTCTGAAATACTTTGATATGCCAGCCTGAAAATACTGCTGACCTAGTTGGTTGTGCATTATGGTAGAGACAGGGAAAAGGTTTGCAACCTTTGGAAATTTGTCTAGAAACCAAAACAAACTAAAAAATCAATTTTGAACAAATTTCCAGCAACCTAAAAAGGATAGAAGTCTCAGGCAAAAGTTGTATACAATCACACTTATGTTTTGGGGAAACTGCATGCATTCGACTTTTAAAAAAATTTTATTGAGATGGAGTCTTGCTCTGTAGCCCAGGCTCAACTGCAGTGGCACAATCTCAGCTCACTACAAACTCCACCTCTTGGGTTCAAGTGATTCTCCTGCCTCAGCCACCCAAGTAGCTTGGATTACAGGCATAAACCACCATGCACAGCAAATTTTTGTATTTTTAGTAGAGACGGGATATCACCATATTGGCCAGGCTGATCTCAAACTGCTGACATCAAGTGATCTGCCTGTCTCGGCCTTCCAAAGTGATGAGATTACAGGTGTGAGCCACCATGCCCGGCCCTGCATTCAACTTTTGAAACTACCAAATTCATCAGAGAATGTTTTCTTGAGCAATTTCTAACATTTAAGAAATTTTTTTTTCTTTGAGTTTGTGGTGCTATTAGCAAGAGATGTGTTTTCTGAAATGTGTTGATAGTGGGGGATGGCTCTCAGTTCAGGCTAGACTCTTACCTTTGGTAATTTGAAATACCTTCTTATATGCTCAATAATAATTAATTTATAGGTGAACGGATGCAAAGGAATATTTTCAAAACAGGAAAACAAGAAAGAAAAATCTGGAAGACCTTAATAGCTTTTCTGCAGAGCGCATGTGTGTGAACGCAGTGAGGGAACTGTACTGAGGTTCTGTCAATGGTGGCATGTAGAAAAGCAGCCTGACAAAGTAGGACACTGAGTGGAAATAGGAGGGCATCCTATTGCCCTCCACTTTCTCAGGCAGACAGTGCAAATTCAGGGGATAAGAAATATTGACGTTTTGGTGAATTGCCTTTCCCCTCCCGGGGTTTACCTAGCATTCACTCAATGCAGTTCTAAAGGGAAAATGACCACTCTCACTCAGCAAATAAGGAAAAAGGCATGATGTTCTTATCTATTGCCAAACATTTCAGGATGAATATCTCAAAAAAACTTTCAATAGATGTTTCATCCTTCTATTTTGTAAAGATAGTAAGGGCTGTTTAATAAAACCAACACTGAGAATAGGGACCTAATATTGTCCCACAGCACAGTTAGCCCACTTTTGGCATTGCTTTTGATTATGAACCTTTGACCACTGGTACATTTGAGTTGCCTCTTTATAAGCACTATTACAATAGACTTTAAATTTAGACTATATATTCATGAGGGAGAAGGACTCCAAATAGTAAGATGGGAGAAGGAAATGGGGCATCAAACAGGAAGAGGAGGACCTTTGTCCCATAAAGTGTGCAGTTTGGGAACTTCCAGAAGGATAAAAATAAAATGGAAATGTCATTACATAGAAGCTGGGGTGATAGTGTTGTTTAATGGACAGGTTTTATTCTTTTAACAGTTGGCAGGTGTTTAGGAGTAGTGTTTTTTGATACTTCCTCCACATTACTACTGAACATCTTCAGAGATGCCTACTTGGACTTTCCCACTTTGGGAATGCTGATGAGATTGGGATCTTCTGCTTGAGTAGCGGGACTAGATAGCTGAAGGCATCCTGCAGAGCTGAGCAATCAGGTCTCTGTCCCAGAACCTGGGACTGTAGGGAGAACCAAGTGAGCTGCCCTTGTCCTGAGCCCGCGAAGGTTTGGAGGGAGGGATGGTCAGAGCATGCAGAATTAGCAATGCTTCCTTTCCCCCAAACTCTCCACTGCTCAAAGCTTTCTGAGAATTTTTGTGAATTTGGACAACATTTGTGTCCTCCTTCCACAAAACTTCCAGCTGAAGTATGAAGACAGTGTCCAGGGCTTCAGATACCCCCGTTTCCCAGCAAGACAATCCACAAGCTCCCTGGGTCTCCTGTGACCAGACATGCCTTGCAATACCATCTTTTTAATTCTCAAGAAGTTTTGGAATATGAATGACCCCTTAGAGGTTCTTGAAGGAAAGAAAACTTGTTTTAAAATACAGTGTGCTCCTATTGATTTTTTACTTTATGCTGAGGATGGGCTTTTCAAAAATGGGGGCCGTTCCCTTGGTATGACTTTAAGGTGTACACCCCCTTGTTTTCCAAGCTCTGCTTCCCCCATGACCAAGGTAACAGTGACCTAGTAAGTAAGAGTTGGTGACAGCTGGATAGCTGATGGTCAGGTGTCCAGAAGCAGATGAACCACACATAGCAATAGCAGTGGGGACCAAGTCCCATTCATCAGCTACACTCGTACCCAAGAGTGAAAAAAGTAGTATTACAGATAGGAGGAGAGAGAAAAAGAAATGAGCCAAGCCAGAGCATAAGTAGCACACCCTTGGAGCTCACTGGGGGAAAGGTGTGGTGTTCACCTTTCTAAAATATTTTATTAGTGAGGAAAGTAGCTTGTCTTGATGCAATTGAAAACATTAAGGACATAGAGAGATGCCTGTTGTGTTTTTTTCCTTAATAATATGAATTGTTCAGTATACTAAACCTGTTTCTTTTTTCCTCTGATTCAAGATTTGGTTTGAGAATAGAAGAGCCCGCTGGAGGAGACATCAGAGGGCATTAAATATGAGAAACGCATCGCACCCCATTCGCATGGGCCAGCTTGTCATTGTACCGTTGCTTATCCCCTATAATACCATCCTTATCCAGGGGTGGTATGGAAGATGGTTTGTTCTGGAGCCACAGCCAGTCTGGCAGCCTCTGCCCATGGCAGTTTTTCCTCCTCTTTTCTTTTCTCCTTCACCCTTGTTTTATCCACCTATGCCTCCCCCTGTCCAGGCCCAATTTGGCCCATTCTTTTTTGTTATTGTCCATTTCTTCACATTCTCCGTTGTCTAAGGTATAGTCTCTGTGCCACTTTTTGCCAGAGTGTGTTTGACCCAGATTCATGTTTTGCATAGCACCCCATCACATGTCTATTAAATGTTTTAAAGAAAAGTACAACATCATGGAACCATTTTTAGGGCACTTTTAAAAATGTTTCAATAAATATGTGCAGAGTATGTACATTTGTTTTGTGTGTCACATGGGGTTCTGGATGAAAACTGCTAAGAAATCCCATTCAAACCAAATGTCATGGACCCTCCTCTCATGCAGTAATCTCCTTGAGTCAGCATCAGGGGGCTGTGCATATCACAGAAGTTTCCCGTGTGCCCAGGACAGGCTTATCCTGACCTACACATCCTCTTCCACCCCTCCCCCAACACCCCATACTCATCTCCTCTCTGCCCCATTGATACCAGGTACATGTGCAAGATGGGTTGGTGTGAGTCCCTAATGAGAGAACAGTGTGTTTCAAGGTACTGTCGTGATGGAATACAACAAAACCAAAATGGTATCGGTAAGGAAGCCACACCCACTCTTAAAAATTCATTAAGTTTTTTTCTTGCTATGCAAGACTTCTTTAAAGTAATTTTCTGTTAAAAGTATAAATGTAAATAATGCCATGAAATTATACACTTATTTAATGGCTAGAATGGCAAGGGTTTTTTTTTTTTTTTTTTAATAATTGTACTATAGGTTCTGGCATACATGTGCAGATCATGCAGGATTGGTGCATAGGTACATAATAGCAATGTGGTTTTCTGCCTCCATCCCCCATCACCTATATCTGGCATTTCTCCCCATGTTATCCCTCCCCAACCTCCCCACTCCCTGACGTCCCTCCCCTAGCCCCCACCAACAGATCCCAGTGTGTGATGCTCCCCTCCCTGTGTCCATGGGTTCTCATTGTTTAACACTCGTCTATGAGTGAGAACATGCGGTGTTTGATTTTCTGTTCTTGTATCAGTTTGCTGAGAATGATGGTTTTCAGATTCACCATGTCCCTACAAAGGACATGAACTCATCCCTTTTTATGGCTGCATAGTATTCCATGGTGTATATGTGCCACATTTTCTTTGTCCAGTCTATCACCAATGGGCATTTGGGTTGGTTCCACGTCTTTGCTATTGTAAACAGTGGAATGGCAAAGTTTTTACATGGCCTACCACAGCAAAAGAAAAGAAAAAATATACCAAAAAAAATTTTTTTAAGTGATTAATTGTGAAAATTATGGTCATCCGGTGAAGTGATTGCAATGCCTGCAGATAAAGAGTCATGGTTACAATATTTTCTCCGAAAATTATTTGATAGCCAGTTTCACAATGCTGTTTTCAGCCTGAAGGAAAATTCTGTTTTCTTGGGTGAGCATGAACTTTCTGTCAGGCTGCCTGCTGCTTTTCATTCTTCACTTTCGTCTTCACAATTGTGGGTGTCAAGCTTCGGCCAAGCAATTGCATTTGGTTTTGCAAGGAGGAGGAGGCTTATTTATAGCCCTGAAGCCACATGCCTTGGTGGGAATAGGGAAAGTCCATGAATTCATTATGCATTTATGCATGCCCCTTGGCCAAGTGGACTCTTTTTTCTTCTCCATTGAGATTTTCCTCTCTTTTTTTTTGCTATTGTTCTCATTGTATTGTGCTTTGTATAATTATTTACAGTAAGTCCCACGTGTCAGTGTACATTCAGTCTGGAAATTGTTTCTATTTGGTGCCAGTTGGTCTATTCTTGCTCATTATTGTTGTTTTTTTTCTACATTCACATTGAAACATTTGGTAGCCTAGAGATTTTCAGAAATAGGCAAAGAAAGGTAAAAGGAAAGAACTGCCTTATGAAAAAAAAGAATCATTTCATGCCTTGTTTTCTAGAGTGTGGAGAGTACCATTTATGTTTATATGCTCGACTCTGCTTTCCCAGATCAACAATTCCTGTTTGTTCTTTCTTGACAGAGAAAAGGAATCCAATTAAGTGAATAATATGAAGAGAAATTTTTTAAAGTGAGCAGAATGGATATTTGGTGATAGTAAAGGCTTTTCCATGTTTTGGCTATGATAATGATACTGTGGCTGTCTATATAAAAAGGGTATATCATTTAAACATGCCCTGAAATAGTTAATGATGACATTTGTGATGTCTTGATGTGTTTCCAAATAATCCCAGGTTGGGTGCAGGGATGTTGGAGAAATCAGCAAGGCTACTGATGAAACGAGACTGGATATTAATAATTGTTGAATGTAGGTAGTGGCTATATGAGTGTTCATCTTAAGATTCTCTCTTTCTATATATTTTTGACATTTCCTATAATTTTTTTTAAAAAAACAGTAAGGGTGGAAAATCTAGATGCTAACAGGGCCAGGAAGGTAACATAAAGGAGGAAAACAAGCAGAGTGGGGACTGGTAAAATGGGAAAGGATATTTCTGCCCCAAAGGGAATGGCCATTACTCTGCTTCAGCTTAATATTTCTGGTCAGGACTGTGGGGCCCAGATCTGGCAGATTTTCCAGTTTGTAAAAATTAGCCAGAAATAAGTGTTTACATGAAACCTTCTGGTCTTTAAATCTGAGCAATCAATTCAAATATGTTTTATTTAAAAGTACACTGGTCATACAAAACAGATCTGCAAACCAGATATAGGATGCATCTTCCAATCTGCTACCTCTGCTTGAGAAGGTAATTTAGGCAAATTCAAAACTCTGGAGCAATAGAATATAATTGAAAACACCTCTAAAACCGGTAATCCTAGAATGCCATCATTCTAATTTATCTTTCCTCATTATAAGTCCTGTTCTTATTCGATGAAAGAAAAACTTCAGCCAAATTAAATTTAAAGGAGTTTAATTGAGCGATGGACGATTCGCAAATTGGTCAGCCCCTAAAATGACAGCAGATTCACAGAGATTCCAGTGCAGCCACATGGAAAATTTTAGACAAAAACAGGAAATGACATACAGAAGTTGGAAGTGAGATACAGAACGGCTGGATTGGTTACAGCTTGACATTTGCCCTATTTGACATTTCCATTTTACCAATAATTTTAAAAACCGTCTTTATTTCCCAAAGATTACTTAAGTCACATGAACTAAAAGGCATTACACTTTTTACTTTTCTGACAAAATATGTGATTTAAGCTTTTATTATTTTAAAACCAATTATTCAAAGCTCTTTTATATATAAACATCACACACATAATACATATAAATACATAGAAGTTAAAGGACTCATTTTCCAAGCCAAAAATTGAACCCTGAACCCAGGCCGCCATTGTGAAAAGAGAAAGCATGGCCACATGGTTACAAGCTCAAGCTCCCAAGGACATGCGAGTCAAGAGGGAAACCTTATCTAGTTTTTTTTTTCAAGGACCTGCAGCAAAGTTTATAACTGATCAGTCTGCTGGTATGTCTTGAGCACTGGGCTTACAGGTATCCTAAGACTGTGTTCTATCTTAGGGTACCCCTCATTATGACAGAAAATACAGAAAGACACACAAAGCACACCAAATTTGCTATAGCTTAAGACTAGCCTTACAAGTCCTTTCTCTGATTAATTAAAACTTTACAAGAGATAAACAGTGATTTTTTACTATTCATTCAACCAGTTTGCAGAGAGAGAGAGAGGCCAGAAGTCTGACTGGTAAGAAATTCTTACCCTTTTGCCAGCATGCCAGGCTTTTGGGTTCCCTTTCCCTAAGTGGCCCTAGTAACCCAGCTCACTGTACCATAGCCTCAGGGTCTGGCCACAACACAAAGGAAGATTATCTTTTTCTGTTCTGGCCAGAGTAAAATATGTGTGACAAGACATAGACATTAACTACTCTGCTTAGCACTTAATATTAAACTGGCAAGGCTTACATTTGTCTTTAGATGGATCCTGTCATCTTTAATCCAACTTCTGACTAGGAGTTTCCACACATGGTCTCTGGGCAAGATGGTCACCCTGAGTAATGGAAAATATATGTAAGGGAAAGGAGAGAGAGAAAAGCATTGCTTGTGGCAAGGTGGGGAAGGTGAAGAGCTCATGGAGGCCAGAGAACCCACCCATTCATTGCAGTGACACTAAAAATGAAAAGTTCAGGTGACCACTTGTCAGTAGTGAAGGGATATTTTTCAGAAGTTTCATTCAGCTGTCAAATTTCCCCTTTTGGGGAGGAAAAAGCTCCCCATGTCCCATGGTCTTGCACATGCTGAATCCTGTCACTCATAGCCATCAGCAAAAAGTGTAAGACAGATTAATCCAAAGAGAATAGCACTTAACATTCCATAGTGTCAAACCCATCCTTAGTGGAAAGGGATTTTACCGAGAGCCCTCATTTTAAAATGTACTTCAATGTATTGATGTTAATTTGGAACATTCCATTGTAAGTTATCTTTAGTAAGATTTTGCCATTTTTGTAAGACTTTACTGTCTCCCAGGCCTAATGCATAAGCCCGAAGGAACTCAGTTTTCCAGAAATTAAGGATTCCATTTTTACCTAAAATATTGGCTTTACTCTCAGGTTCTCTTGGTTAACTTAGCAAAGGATTTTTTTTCTACTAGGAGCACAAGAAAAATGAAACAAAGGGGTAGAGCACAAAAATCCCGATGAATTTTCGAAAACCAAATTTTATAACCCCTGCAATATTACTGCTTACTCCCAGTCCTTTCTTGATCCAGTCAGATGTAAGAGGCCTCTAACTGGATCCAAGCCAGTTAATTACCCTATCAAATCTATTCCTGGACCCAGGCCAGTTTCTGTCACGACTTCCAAATCTGGTTTGGATCAGAAATTTGCTCAAAGAAACTCATAGAATTCAAAACACAAATCCGTGGAGCTCTGAAATCCAAGAGGAAGCTTAGCCACTATCCCCAGCTGCTCTGAGAAATCAATGGACACAAGTCAGTTCTCTCGACTGACTTTTAGCCAGTTTTACTATGATGTAATCTGTTTGTGGATTCTTTACGTATATCCTTCTTATAATTCACTGAGCTTCCTTATAAACAATAACCTATACCCAGTTATCATTTAAAAAAAAATTTGGGAAATTTTCTGCCATTATTTCTTTGACTATTTTTTCTGCCCCTCTCTATCTCTTCTTCTGGTAGATTCCACTTAGGTTGGTGTGGCTGATGGTGTCCTACATTTCTCTGAAGCTCTATTTAGTTTTCTTCATTCTTCTTCTCTCTAGTCTTCGTCTTGCATAATCTCTATTGATCTTGTTTCAAATCTGCTAATTCTTCTGCCAGTTTAAATGTGCTGTTGAGCCCTGTTAGCGAATTTTTCATGTCAGTTATTGTACTTTCAGCTTCAGAATTTCCATTTGGTCCTTTTAAAATAATGTCTATCTCTTTAATGATATTTTCTACTGAATGCAACATTGCTATCATACCTTTATTTTCTGAATCATGCTTTCTTTTAATAAACATATTTTTTTTATTTTTTAAAACATTTATCATATTATTTTTTCTCTTTTAAAACATTTTTTTTTTCTCTGTAGAGATGGAGGTCTTGCTATGTTGACCAGGATGGTCTCAAACTCCTGGCCTCAAGCAATCCTCCCACTTCAGCTTTCCAAAGTGCTGTAATTACAGGTATGAGCCACCACACCTGGCCTGCAAACATATTTATAATGGCTATTTTTATGTCTTTTTCTGTTAAATCCATCATGTGGCAGTTGGTGTTGCCTGCTTGTCTCTGATATATGGGGCATACTTTCCTGTTTCTTTGCAGGCCTGTATTTGTTCTCATATTGTTATAAGGAAATACCTGAGAGTGGGTAATTTATAAAGGAAAGGGGTTTAATTGACTCACAGTTCAGCATGGCTGGGGAGGAAACATACAATCATGGCAGAAGGTGAAGGGGAAGGAAGACACCTTTTTCACAAGGCAGCAGGAAGGAGAAGTGCAAGCAGGAGAAATGCCAAATGCTTATAAAACTATCAGATCACATGGGACTCACTGATTACCACAAGGACAGCATGGTGGAAACCACACCATGATCCAATTACTTCTACCTTGTCCCACCCTTGACACATGGGGATTATGGGGTTTATGGGGATTACAGTTCAAGATGAGGTTTTGGGTGGAGACACAGCCAAAGCATATCACATGCTACATAAATTTTTTTTGCTGGAAATTGAAATTGAAATTTTTTTTGAAACAGGGTTCCACTCTGTCACCCAGGCTGGAGTGCAGTGGTGCAGTCACAGCTCACTGCAGCCTCAACCTTCCAGGTTCAAGTGATCATTCTACCTCAACCTCCTGAGTAGCTGGGACTATCAGCATGCACCATCACACCTGGCTAAATTTTTACAATTATTTTTGTAGAGATGGGTGTTTCTCTATATTGCCGGGGCTGGTCTTGATCTCCTGGGCTCAAGTGATCCTTCCACCTTGGCCTCTCAAAATGCTGGGATTACAGGTGTGAGCCATTATTACTGGCCAGAAAATTTTTGATAATATGTTGTAGCAACTGCCCCCAACCCTAGCCTCTCGGACTTGTTATTTGCTGGTATATTTTTTAGTGATTGGCTGGATTCTTTTAATGAAGCTTATTCCTTCTCCTCATAGTCTTAAGCCTCTGATGTTGCTCTTCAGGAAGACATACTTTGGGTGTGTACACAGTCACTCTAGAATGGCAGTGGTGTTAGTAGGGCTCTCTATCTTTCCCTTACTATGCCCAACTATTAAACTCTACTAATTGCCTGCTGATTACTCTGTTGTTTTCAGCAATGTCCTAGGGCATAAATGGTTCTACAAACTAATCCAATTAAATTGTGGTTTCTTTGAAGAAATAGTTTTTGAGGTCCATGTCTGATATTTGTTCTGATACCAGGAGGGCTCTTACCAGACATCTTATTTCCTGGTTTTCTCCTGAAAACTATCCAGCTTATAGGTCATGCTTTATCTTCATTAGATCCACAAATCTCAACTGCCTTGTATCACAACCTCCCCTGTTCTTGAGAACACTTTTAGGTTTGAACTTCACGCTCTGTTGTAAATGAAGTCAATTCCTTTGGGAAGAGATAAGGAGCTATCTGTTTTGTAGGCTGTTTCTTCGCTAAGGCAAAATCTTCCAGTAAGAGCTCTAGAGACAGTGTGGGGACAGTGGCAAGCTTCTGTCTGAATGGCAACCCCTTTCTATGGGCTGAGGCCTTGGTGGAGTGGGGTGCAGCAGCCTAAGGTGCTCTTGGTTTGTCTCTTTCCAGACAACGAAAACTCGAGCCCCAGTTTTCTCAGTGTGTTGCATCTAAGGTAGAGCCTGCATTAAATAAGCTAGGGACAAAGTAGGCAGAGTAAGTGAGCCAACATCTCTCATCTGTACTCACCTGATACTTAGCCTCAGAAAAAAAGTAGCTGGTGTCAGTATGAATGATGCTGAAGTGCTGTCTCTCCTGGGAAGAAAGTCTTCTGGCTGGAAGCCAGAGGGGAGAGGGAGCCCTATGTTCTTGGCTGCAGCAGTCTGAAGTAGAATCTCTGCCTTACGGATCTGGGAGGGGGAAAGAAAGAAGCTGTAGTGGTTCAAATACCACAGACTTGTTTCTCTTACTGAATTTTTATAGCTTCTCTTAGACAGATGTTTCTTCATTTGCTGTTTTCCCTTAGGATCATTTCCAAGGGCTTTAAGTTGTTGTTTAAAAAATAATATTTACCAGTTTCACTTGGGAGTGCATCAGCAGAGTTCCTTACACTGTCATGCTGGAAGTTGAACTCCATGTTTGGTACTTTTTTCATTTGCACAGTGATCTTGTATTTTCTATGCCTAGACAAAGTTACGAAGTGGTATTTTTTTTCTCATTTCATCAAGATCACAGAGTGACTATGTAGACTGTTTATGTTCAAGAGGAAAACATCAAGACCTAGTTGTGAGTACCAGGCCAGTGCTGGCTGTCAGGGACTGTGATATGGTTTGGATTTGTGTCTCTATCTAAATCTCATGTTGAATTGGAGGAGGGGCCTGTTGGGAGGTGACTGTATCATGGGGGAGGATTTCCCCATTGCTGTTCTCATGATAGTGAGTTCTCAAGAGATCTGATGGTTTAAAAGTGTGTGGCAGTTTCCCCCTCACTCTCTCGCTCTCCTGTTACCATGGAAAGACATGCCTTGCTTCCCTTTCACTATTTTCCATGATTGTAAGTTTCCTGAAGCTTCCCAGTAATGCTTCCTGTTAAGCCGGTGGAACTGTGAGTGAATTGAACCTTTTTTCTTCATAAATTACCTAGCCTCAGTTCTTCATAGCAGTGTGAGAATGGACTAGTACAGACTGCTTATCACCTTCTCACAGTGTAGAACAATCACTTCAGAATTATCCTATTTAAGGGGCAAGGAAGCTTGGGCATTCATCCACCAAGTCCCAATAATCATTGTTGAGGGCTGCTCCGGGGGCATTTATTCCCCAGCCTTCCCTGTTCAGGCAGAGGTGCTTCAGACCCCAGAGGAAGCATCAAGCAGTTCGTAGTTGGGCCAAATACATATGGCTGAGATCTAGTAGGACACAGACAACATAAGCTATAGATGACCTGCAAAAGATCTGGAAGGGCCAGGATTTGAGCTCAGTATTATCTAATGACCATGTCTTAGCCACCACTTGATTTGGTGAATGGAGAGGTTTGAAAAGAACAGCAGATGTTTGCTAGAGGGGTTGTCAAGATTACTTGCCTGAACTGTTTCTCATTTATGTATTACATAGACTGTTAGAGATACCTGCTCTGTTCCAAGCTCCTAGCTAGATTCTGGGGTTGCAAAGATGAACCAGGCATGTGTTCTGCCCTTATGTTACAATCTGTCTGTTGAAGGTAGGATATATGAAAGGACAAGCCCACACTTTGTCTCCAGTCCTACCTGTGTTGGCTAGCGTGTCTTTCCTGGAGGATGTGTTCACTAAGCAATGGAGAGTATTTAGGGGACATCCAGCCTACTCTTTTTACTTTACAGATGAAGGAACACAGGCCCACAGCCAGGGAATGGTCCACAAAAGAGAACATACAGACTGTACCCTGGAGAAGGGAGAAGCACCTCTTGCTTCTGCCTCCCAAAGTGCTGAGATTACAGGTGTGTGCTACTGCAACCAGCCGAAGATTTTTTTTAAGGTAAAAACAAAATATGTTTTTATCTATTTCCAAGCTTGATAGCATGAATTTCCTAAGAAACTTTTTAGCAGATCCTCTCCTCCCTTTTGCAAATATACTAAAACTATTTTATGAAAACAGTATTGGGAATATGGACCCAAGAATGACCCAAAACACAAGTTATCTTGTTGTGGAGATTTGGCTGGTGGTACATTTGAAGTCCCCTAAAATAAGCTCTGTTACACTGACCTACATTTGACTATATCCTTTTTATAGCACTGTAGAGGGCTTTCTGCAGGCCCAGAGCAATGGAGTGGCCTGCATAAGAGAACACACAGAACTCGTCTTAGAGGAGGCCAGCCTCTGGATGGCCATGACCTCCCCTGGGCCTGGGATCATTCAGTTAAGAGAAACACACACCAGCCCAAGTTCAGCTCTTCAGCACCTACCACACCATCCAGCCCAGAACTATTTCACTTAAAGGGTTGAAGATTCAAGTCCCTTCCCCAACCATGGCACTGGACCATTTTACCTCTAGGAATAGTAAACAACCTCCCCTAAAAGCATTCAGTGTCTTGGTGTTCATTCTTACAGGCCCTTGAGGGAGTGATACAACTTGTGTCCTCCTCACAAATCTCATTTCTCCCAATCTTCTTGCAAATCTGTGCCTGAAGCTGGAAGCACATGTGAGCAACAACCAGCTTGGTGCTTGGTGTTGAATTAACTTTTTAAAGAAAGTAGGCTAATAGGTTGGAAATTGTTCTGTCAATATTTTAGAATCTAATAATCCAAAAGATCCCTTCTAAAAGCACATTCTGTTGTTACACAAGCAAGGGGACAACAGTGATTTCAGAGGTAGCATTCAGAGGTGAGCACCATAATTGATACATTTGGACTCCTCCAAAGCAGAGGCCACAGACAAAGCTGGGGCCTCTATGAGGACTGGAGAGTTGGACCTATGATTTTTTATTTCAAGCCAGATAATCTTGGTTTAGGCAAAATAATGGAGAGAAGGCAGAGAACAAGGAAGAGTCTCTGTCTGCTCCCTTTGAACAAGAGAGACACAACAAATTAAACAAAGGATGTTTTAAAATCAAAAGGCAAAAGAGTCTGTGGAGACACAGAAGGAAAGGAATCCATGGCAGTGGCTGAGCCTGGAGCTGTTGTTGAGGTGTGGGGAGCAGCTGGGTACTGGCTCTGGAAGGTAGCCAGTGAGGCACAAGGAGGTAGCTCTGGCCAGCAGGGCTTTACCACAAAAAATAATAAAGGAGGCTGGGCGCGGTGGCTCAAGCCTGTAATCCCAGCACTTTGGGAGGCCGAGGCGGGTGGATCACGAGGTCAAGAGATCGAGACCATCCTGGTCAACATGGTGAAACCCCGTCTCTACTAAAAATACAAAAAATTAGCTGGGCATGGTGGCGCGTGCCTGTAATCCCAGCTACTCAGGAGACTTAAGGCAGGAGAATTGCCTGAACCCGGGAGGCGGAGGTTGCGGTGAGCCGAGATCGCGCCATTGCACTCTAGCCTGGGTAACAAGAAAGAAACTCCGTCTCAAAAAAAAAAAAAAAAAAAAAAAAAAGAGAGAGAGTAATTCATGCAGAGCCGGCTGGAGACTGAAGTTTTATTATTACTTAAATCAGTCTCCCCGAGCATTGAGGGAGCAGAGTTTTTAAGGATAACTTGGTGGGTGGGGGGAAGCCAGTGAACCAGGAGTGCTGATTGGTCAGAGATGAAATCATATAGGGAATCGAAGCCGTCTTCTTGCACTGAGTTAGCTCCTGGGTGGGGGCCACAAGATCAGATGAACCAGTTTATCGATCTGGATGGTGCCAACTGATTCATCAAGTACAGGGTTTGCAAAATATCTCCCGCACTGATCTTAAGAGCAGTTTAGGAAGGGTTAGAATCTTGTAGCCTCCAGCTTCATGACTCTTAAACCATAATTTCTAATCTTGTGGCTAATGCTAGTCCTACAAAGTCAATCTAGTCTCCAGGCAAGAAGGAAGTCTGCTTTGGGAAAGGGCTGTCACCATCTTTGTTTAAACCATAAACCAAGATTTTTCCAAGGCTTGTTCAGCCTATGCCCAGGAATGAACAAGGACAGCTTGGAGGTTAGAAGCAAGATGGAGTCGGTTTAGTTAAATCTCTTTCACTGTCTTAGTCATAATTTTGCAAAGGCAGTTTTAGGAGTATGGGAGGCAGTGTGGCTAAATAGGAGGAGCACAGACTCTCAATGCAGAGGGTTTCAAATCACAGATCTGCCACTTACTAGATTTGTTACTTTAGGCAGGTCGTTTTAGCTTTCTGAGCCTCATGTGTACAATGAAATCTTCATAGTAGTTAGTCCATAGGCCTGAAAAGAAGATGAAATGAAAAGATTCAACTAGAACACTGAAAACAAGGCCTGCTGTGCTATAGGTGTTTAATAAACATTATCTTCCACAATGATAATGATTAAGGCACTAAACATAACATAATTTAAAAAGCAGAGGACCAAAAAAACCCACCACTCTCCTGAGCTGAGAGAATTTGCCTAGTATTCCAGGGACAGGTGTGTCCTAAGCTCTCACTAGGTAGGGTCAATGCCCAGCAGCCAAGCCAGAAGGAAGATTTAGGCAGACACTGTCATTGATGAACATGTAACCTCCAGAGCTAGAATACTATTGATGATGGTGACTGGCTTCGGTTCTTCTCTCTGGTCTGACACCCAGAAAGCCCATCAGACTCACTGCTATAAACCTTGTAATCCCACAGCAGGCCAAAAACCACAGCCCTGCCTCCCCTCCTCCTGAGTTTCCTGTGTGGGTGTGGTGGGAGCAAGAGTGAATTCAGTACCTCTAATGGGAACTGTAGTTGCTGCATTCCAAAGGGCAGAGCTCTGACTTCGTTTCATGCTTTTACAGACAACAACGTCAAGACCTCTCATAGGAACTGCTAGGACCACTGGAGAGAGTGAATTCAGCTTTTGGCCAAAAACCCATGGGTGATCTTTCAGGCCTCAACATAGGCAATTATGAAAGCTTTACCTGGCAGGAGCCATGGAGGGATGTGCCCTCCACACATCAGACTTGATGCACAGCCAGTGCACTGCAATCTGTGAATGGAGTTGCAATCGAGGACACAGATATCCCTAGCTGATCATGCTCTCACACGTCTGCATTCTATTATAAGTGAAATTTCAATGCTGCAAACGAAATAAAACTCAAAGATAAATCCTCTCAGCAAGGCAGTTTACTTCTATAGAAGGGTGCAGCTCATGGATGGAGCAATTGTGACTGCACATTTGGACAAGTGAGGAAAAGGGATACTTATGCCTGACAAGGGTCGTCCCTAACTGCTGTATTGTTCCCCTATTGGCTAGGGTTAGACTACACAAGCTAGACTAATCCAGATTGGCTATTTTAAAGAGAGCAGGGGTCCGAGCTGGAGTGGCAGGGTGGGTGGTTTGTCAGGAAGGATGGTTACAGGCAGGTCAGAGCAGGTAGCCAGGGGTGACCTAAGTCAAAGGAAGATGACCAGAGCAGGTGACTGGAGCAGATGATTGAAGCAGGTGACCAGGATGAGTCAGGATGGAGCCGGGACCAGGGGGAACAGATGTGAACTACTGATTACAACTGGTGGAGAAGGTTGTTTACTGGAACTAGAAGGAAGTTAAACTTTAAAATGAAGGACAAATAACTGAACCTAATGACATACTGACTCTTTGAAGAGAAATTTAGAACTCATTATATCCAGTAATTCCTAGACCAGGTGCCTCCATTTGGAGTTTGCTTTATCAGGAGCCTTTTGCAGAGGCTTCCTCCAGCACCTCAGCTTAAGACCTCTTTTTGCCATGGTGTGTGGAGCGGGGGGTGCCTAAAAATATTTTTTTCTCAACACTGACTCAGTACTCAGTACTTTTCAACTCCTAGCCCTTCCCCATCAATTCCTCCTTCCCCGGGGTCCATAAAGTGGCAGGAGCTTTTTGTTCAGGACTCCCTTAACAGTGAGATGATGATGCCCTGCATCTGTGCTAATCCAGCAGACCCCTGTTGGAGCCACTCCATGAGGAAAATGGAATAATGGAGGACTCAGTACTTTTTCTGGTTCAGTCCCTTGCTTATGCTATCAAAGGAAATGATTAAAGCCCAACTGTTACTTTTATTTTGACTGAGGTAACCTAGTGGATCAAATTAGAGATTCAGCAGAGGATCTCTAAGAAAGCCACAGAAACAATTCCCTGGATACTGTTCTCTGATGATGGGGCAAATTACTGGAGGCCCTGCAAACTGGCTTGTACCCCAACACTATTCCTAGATCTAAGCAGTTCCCTGGGGCTGACAGACAACTTGCCATGCAGGATGTTATTGAGACTCATGCTTCTAATAAAAATAATGTAGAGGTCTTTCGGATCCCTTTTTCCAGTGATCTCACTAGATAGGTCAATGCCCAGCAGCCAAGACAGAAGGAAGATTTACTTAGAGGAAGAGACCATAGAGACTTGGCTAGTTTGCTTCCTTTGAGAAAAAGGTAATCTTGTTATCTTGTTAAATAAACTTCATAAAGGAAAGTGGCTCCTTGAGGGGTACATCACTATAGATCCCCTTCCTCCATAGTGCCTTGACAGTGGCCACTTTCCCTAAGGAGGAGAAGCAAGGTGGGGAGATGAGTGTGTATGTATGCCAAGGGCCATCTCTTTCCTCATCTGGGTACTATTTGGTCTCTGACTGATTTGGTCCACAAATGATGAGTACCTAGTCACTGAAGAACGTGTCTTAACCACCTTCACAAGGCTATGGAGGTCCTGCAGCCCTCCTGGTGGTCTCTTGGGTCTACTATGAGGGAGTGGAAACAGCAGATGATAAGATTAACCAGATTTAGATGTATAGGTTTGTTCGTGCTGCTCCTGCTTTTTGTCAGGCCCAATTAAGCCACCTCCTGACGTCACATCCATCAATCTGCAACGTAATTCAGATCTTAACTGAGAAATTCTCAGGCACAGAAAAAGTAGCTTCTGAGAAAGATAGCAAAATTTGACCTCCTACCCTCTAAAAAAGGAGCCTAAAAATAGTACTTGGGTGCCCTCTTCTGGACTATCTGGGCAAGGGCCTCCCCAAAGAGATTTTTGAGTTTTATTACTCAATAATTTAACCACAAAAGCAGGAGATTGATGGGCTCCCTACTAAGGAACTCAGGGCCAAGTACCAGGCCATGGGGATTTGATAAGTGGTCTGGTACAGTCTGCACAGTGATGGTCCTCCACCTCTCCTGGTGGATCTGGAGACAAACCAGAGATCCTTTGCAACTTTTGCTCTGACACTCAGCTTTCAAATATAAACAAGATTAGGCGTTACAAACAAAGATCCAAAGATTAGGGGTTGGAAACAAGATCCGTCGGTACCTAGGGGACCCAGAGGCCCTATGCCAAGGTTAGAGTTCAACTGAAAAGTGAAGAGGAATTGCACTTGTTAGGCCTTTTAGATACCAGTACACAGGCGACTGCGATCCCCACAAACCCTTTCATCAAGATGACAGGAAAACAGATAGTGTTCTCTGATTTGGGGTTCCTACTAACCTCCATTGTCATGGCCCCCAGTACTGAATGAAATATTGGTACTGATGTGTTTTCCATGTGCACCCCCACTAGCCTTTGCCCCCAACCCCTGACAGGAATTGCAATAGTTTTGGCCACTTTAGTGGGGAATATAGAAGACCATGGACCCATCTGATGACCAACATCTAGTACTGTTGTTTCCCAAAAATAATGTCAGCTGCCTAGGGGAGAAAAAGAATAATTGCCATAATTGCTGAGCTTAAGGAGGCCAAAGTGTTTCATGAGACTGTTTCTCCATTCAATAGCCCCACCTGGCTTGTACACGAGACCTTGGTTTCTTGGAGACTTACCATTGATTGTAGGCAGCACAATGCATAATTCCACCTTTGGCACCAGCAGTACCTGACATTGTGACTGTTACAGAGGCTCAAAACAGAGAGAACTTGGTATGTAGCAATTGATATTGCAAATACATATCAAATTTTAATTCCCAATGTTGGAAGTGGGGCCTGGTGGGAGGTGATTAGATCATAGGGGCAGACTTCCCTTTCGGTTTTGTTCTCATTATAGTGAGTAATTGAGTAATTGTGAGATCTGGCTCTTTAAATGTGTAGCACCTCTCTTCTCTTCCTCCTGCTCTGGCTGTGTGAACATACCTGCTTCCCCTTCCACCATTATTGTAAGTTTCCTGAGGCCTCCAAGCCATGCTTCCTCTACAGCCTGTGTAACTGAGTCCATTAAACCTCTTTTCTCTTTATAAATTACCCAGTCTCAGATATTTCTTTATAGCAGTGCAACAAACTAACACAGAGCAATTTCTTAGAACTGCTCCTCCCTGAGTCCTCACTCTCATAGCCAGAGACCTACTTGCCATCTGCAGTTGACTTAATTGTGCCCTGCCTCAAATTCCTATGTTGAAGTTGTAATCTCCAATGTGACTGCATTTGTAGATAGGTGATAATTATGGTTAAATGAGGTCATAGGGTAGGGTCCTAATCCAATAGGATTGGTTGCCTTATAACCTTATAAGAAGAGGGAGATTGGCCTGGTGTGATGGCTCATGCCTATAATCCCAGCACTTTGGGAGGCCGAGGTGGGCGGAACCCTGTTTCTACTAAAAATATAAAAAAAATTAGCTGGGTGTGGTGGCACGTGCCTGTAATCTCAGCTACTCAGGAGGCTGAAGTAGGAGAATCACTTGAACCTGAGAGGCAGAGGTTGCAGTGAGCCAAGGTTGCACCACTGCACTCTAGCCTGGGAAACAGAGCAAGATGTGGGGGGGGCGGGGTGAGTGGGGCGTGGGGGAGGAAGAGGAGATGATTCTCTCTCTCCCTTCTCTTCCTTTTCTCCCTCCTTTCTCTTTCTCGCCACTGGAATGCGAAAGGAAAGGCCAGTGAGAACACAGAGAGAAGGCAGCCAACTGCAAGCCAGGAAGATAACCCTCACCAGAACCTGACCACAATGGCATTCTGACCTTGGACTTCCAGCCTCTAGAACTGTGAGAAAATAAATTTTTGTTGTTTGAGCCAGCCAGTCTATGATATTTTGTTGTAGCAGCCTAAACAAAGACACTATCCATGATACCTTCCTCTCAGCCTCACATATATTGTGTCAGCATATCTGTGTGCCCTTCCTTCAAAATATGTTCTGAATATGGTTACTTACCACTTCCACTGTTGCTACCCATAACCAAACTGCTATCATCAGCTCTTTCCCGAACACCTGCAATAGCTCCTAGGCTCCTGCACTCGCTACCAATTCCCTCCCATCTGTTATCTTCATATTAGCCAAATTAGTTTTTTCCAAACCTGTATCAGATCATGTCAGTGATTAAAAATAATACAGTGGCTTTCCACTATACCTTGGGATTTGATTTAAAATTCTTAGCATGGCCTTCAAAGCTTTGCCCCATCTGTCTCCTGCTTAACTCTTTGAACTACTTTGGAGCCTCTCTTCTCACTCCTCACCATCTAGTCACATGGCCTCTTTTGGAATATATGAAAACTTCCCAGCTTGAATTCACTGCCTACCATCTTTCACCTGACTCATTCTTATTTGTCCTTTAGGTTCAGCTTTCGCATCCCTTCCTTGGAGTGGCCTCCCATGCCCTACATCCTAAGTTAGAAGTCTTTGTATTCTTTCCGGTTTTACCATGTTCTTTACATTGACATACTTACCACCAGTTTTGTATTTATTGGTTTATTGTCTGGCTCCCCCACTGGGTGGCCAATTTCACGAGAGTAAGGAAAGCATTTGCCTTGTTTACTGACATACTACCAGCACCCAGCCTAGGGTTCGACTGGAGTAGGTGCTCGGTTGACAAGTGTTGAGTGAATAAATGAATAGACTCTATGAGGTTGATGCTTTTAGTTCAGAGTAGTTTGGTGATTTACTTGCTGCCACACAGCTAGCAAGTGGACATAAATGGATAAGGTCCCAGAATTATAGTTCAAAGGTGAATGCATAGTCTAAGAGACTGCTAGGGGATGGAAAATAGAAGCGGGCGTGGAGTGTAATACATGTGAGAAGATTCTAGACCATTGATTCTAGGGAGATCTTCCCTCAGGGTGTGTTGAGGGGAGTACATGTTCAATATTCACATTTGTTGAAAACCAGCTTCTGATTTCATAATATGTATATATGGCTGAAAGACTTTTCTGATTGGTAAAGATAACAGAAAATACAGCGTTTCTTTGAGAGCAGTTTTTTTTTCCACTTTATTGAAAGGAGGCAGGTTAAAAATGTGACTAGGAGACAGGTGCAGTGACTCACACCTGTAATCCCAGCACTTTGGAAGGCCGAGGCAGGCAGATCACCTGAGGATGGGAGTTCAAGACCAGCCTGACCAACATGGAGAAACCGCGTCTCTACTAAAAATAAAAAAATTAGCTGGGTGTGGCTGTGGCACTTGCCTGTAATCCCAGCTGCTTGGGAGGCTGAGGCAGGAGAATCGCTTGACCCCGGGAGGTGGAAGTTCATGCTATTGCACTCTAGCCTGGGCAACAAGAGCAAAACTCCATATCAACAAACAAACAAACAAACAAACAAAATGTGACTAGGAAACTGCACAAAAGCTTTCTGCCATTCCCCTGATTGAAGCTAAGGCCTGTGGGGTGCAGGAGACACCAAGGTTTGGATTATGCCAGGACCATGCTCATATAGTGGAAAGTAGGACTTGGTGACACAGCAACCCACAGGCTTCACATTCCCATCCACCCCTCACCCCAGCAAACTCACATAATTCCACCCCTACCCCATAGACTCCCCTTCACAATTCCCTAATCTGTATATTACCTCTCAGGCTCCATACATCCCCATGCCAGCCCCCCTCTCCAAGCTCCACTTTACCCCACATCACTCATCAGACTTCACATTACCTCCTAGAATCACATCGGCCCACAAATGGTGAGAAAGGGCCATTTGTGAAAAGCGAGTTTGGAAGGCGCTGGTCGAGAGAGCCAGGTGCGAAGCCAGAACCCTCGGGAACAAGTGGCCAACTCGACAGCAGAGGGCGCCTGAGAGCCTCTCGGCACAGGCCATGCAGGCCTCCAAGCCTGGGTTAACTCCTAGACGGGTAGTGAGCCAATCGAACCAGCCACCGTCTTCCTATAAAATAAACTGCTCTTTCTTCTTGTCCTCCTCTGCTCAGCATCGTTCGCTATGCCTTGAATATTTTAAATGGCCGTATGGATATCTGTAAAATAAAGGCTAGTAGTTATCATCATTATTATCATTAATCAGATATACAGGTAAAAGGCAATCCTAAGAACAAAGCCAAGCATCTGGAGTAAGGACGGCTACGGGGATTCTGTTTGAATAGTCTGAACAATAGTTTTTGTTTCTTATTTTGCTTGGGTTGTGACGTGTGTTGTTTCAACACATAGCTTTAAAAAATAATGCCTGTCAATGTATTGGTCACAAAATGTCTTTCTGGGAAAAGGCATTTATTTTCCCCAAATGATTTGACACATTTCTGGTGAAATGCATTAACATTAACTTTCCCTTCTTTTTTTAAAAAAAGTTTTGGACATATAAGTTTAATTACCTGCTAGATTATAAGATGGAAATATGTGGTAAATGGATGGAAACAAGGCGCATAAACTTAGGAGGCAGAAATTTTTTAACTTTAGGTTTAGGCATTCACTAGATTGGACAATTTTTAACATTTTAATTAAAACTTTTTGTCACAAAAAAGAACAAATGTATTAAAACTAGTTTACAGAACTGCCCAAATGACTTTTTAAACTTGATTTAAATGTCAAGTTTTCTTTGGCAAATCTATCCAAAATACTAATTTTCTTTTTACAACTTAGTTTATAATTTATATATTAGCGTGTCCTCAATTGATGTTCATCCGGATACCTTCCTCTGAGCCCTAATGGTTTCTATCTTCCCTTTAAAATATGTAAGTATCTAGGGCCCCAAGCGGTGGCTCACACCTGTAATCCCAGCACTTTGGGAGGTCGAGGCGGGCAGATCATGAGGTCACGAGTTCAAGACCAGCCTGGCCAACATAGTGAAACCCCATCTCTACCAAAAATACAAAAAAAATTTAGACGGGTATGGTGTCTGGTGCCTGTAATCCCAGCTACTTGGGGAGCTGAGGCAAGGAGAATTGCTTGAACATGGGACACAGAGATTGCAGTGAGCTGAGATTGTGCCACTGCACTCCAGCCCGGGTGACAGTGTGAGACTCCATCATTCCATTTAAAAACAAAAATAAAAAATAGGCTGGGTGCGGTGGCTCATGCCTATACTCCCAGTACTTTGGGAGGCCGAGGCGGGTGGCTCATGGGGTTCAGAGATCGAGACCATCCTGGTCAACAAGGTGAAACCCCGTCTCTACTAAAAATACAAAAATTAGCTGGGCATGGTGGTGCGCGCCTGTAGTCCCAGCTACTCGGGAGGCTGAGGCAGGAGAATTGCTTGAACCCAGGAGGCGGAGGTTGTGGTGAGCTGAGATCGTGCCATTGCACTCCAGTCTGGGTAACAACATCGAAACTCCGTCTCAATAAAATAAAATAAAATAAAATAAAATAAAATGCGTAAGTATCTTTTAATTAAGTTGTCATTTTCAAATATATTCTGGAGCAAAAAATCAGGAATTAAACACCTATAAATTCTTCTTCACTTCTGTTATAGTGTAGCAATTTATCATCTAACCCATAGTAGTCTATCAATTGAGTAAGGCTTAGTTTCTTGTTCTCTTCAGACACAGCTGATTGCAGCTTATAAAGCAACAGCTGGATGCAGCTTCTCCACTTCTTTATTAACAACTGTAACTAAGACAGATCATTCTTTGATCTATACATTTTGACTAGTTTTAGCCTTTGAAGAACGTCTTTTTTCTCCTGAACCTGCTTCACCAATTTGGCTTTTTTTTTTTTTTTAAGACAGAGTTTCGCTCTTGTTGCCCAGGCTGGAGTGCAATGATCTCAGCTCACCACAACCTCCCAGGTTCAAGAGATTCTCCTGCCTCAGTCTCCCAAGTAGCTGGGATTACAGGTCCTGCCACCAGGCCCAGCTAATTTTGTATTTTTAGTAGAGATGGGGTTTCTCCATGTTGGTCAGGCTGGTCTCGAACTCCTGACCTCAGGTGATATGCCTGCCTTGGCCTCCCAAAGTGCTGGGATTACAGGCATGAGCCACCTCGCCCAGCCCATTTGGCTTTTTCGTCATTTAATCTTTGTTTAGGAAGATTCTCATTCACAAACTAATTCTGGAAACCACTGTATGACCCAGAATCAAGTGACTGAGATTCACAGACATTGAGATTCTTCAAAGTATTTTTCAAATTTGTATTTTCTTCAAATCCACTGTCTATGTGTTTAAAACTTTCTTGAAATTCCTAAGTTTTTCTCTATGGAAGATGCTGGTTTCTCTGAAAAGGTCTGATTGTTTTCTTCATTCTCTACTGTAAGCTTAAGACGTTTCACCACATTATAACGGGAATTAAATAATGATCTTGTTTTCCTTAATCTTTCTCTAAGCGTTGCACTCATAGGTTGTTTTCATGAACTGTTTGTATAGGGAGATGATGGATTCGCAGAGGCCTGAGTAGTGCTAGGTAAAACCACAGCTGAGTCTGATGGACTTTCCATCTTGAAAATGAAAATCCAGGTTTCAGGCATCCCTCTTCCTCTCAGAAGGGTACCTCCCTCCGCCATCCCCAGTGAGAGCAAAAAGCCAACTTTTCCTTCTTAAAGGACTCATGGGAAAGGGATAATGGGAATAATAACTTCATATGCTGAAGAAAACAGATCAAGTGTGAAGAAATCATTTATCAACATTTAAACCTCTACGCACTATTTGTACTTTTTTCAAAAGAACTTTGCTAAGAATGAGATTCATTAAGTTAAAGAATATTAGAACACAAAGGAACCTGCAAAATTAAATCGCCTTCTTATTATATATACAAAACGGGAGACCCACAGAGGGTAAGTGACTTGTCCAAGATCACAGACCACTTGAGTACAGTCAGGGCTGATTTCCAGTCTGCAACTCAAAAGAGCAGCAGCATTTCTCAATGAAAGGACAGTGGTGTGCGTTTTAAAGGTTTTATTCTATTCTTTTTTTTTTTTTTTGAGACGGAATTTCGCTCCTGTTACCCAGGCTGGAGTGCAATGTCGCGATCTCGGCTCACCGCAACCTCTGCCTCCTGGGTTCAGGCAATTCTCCTGCCTCAGCCTCCTGAGTAGCTGGGATTACAGGCATGCGCCACCATGGCCAGCTAATTTTTTGTGTTTTTAGTAGAGATGGGGTTTCACCATGTTGATCAGGATGGTGTCAATATCTTGACCTCGTGATCCACCCGCCTGGGCCTCCCAAAGTGCTGGGATTACATGCATGAGCCACCGCGCCCAGCGTATTCTATTCTTTATTACATGATTATTGTAGGAAAAATTGGGACAAGATGATATTTTAAATTACCTAGAATCCTACCACTTCACAATGATCATTGTTAGTATTTTTGCTGTATAATTTTCCAGACTTTTTAATGTATATGAATACTGGTAAATGTGGTGTGTTTACTAAAATTGGATCACACTGTCTGTTCATCTCTGAAAATAACTCCTAACAGATGCAAAACTAGTCCAGTGAATAGACTAACTTCATCAGTTTAACCAGTCCCTTATTGATAGACAGATAAGCTTTTTTGAATGTTAAACCCTTATAAAAGATGCTGCACTAACCATTCCTGTTCAGACATCTTTTGCTGAAGTGGTTTCTACCTACTCATCAGTGTGAATTTTGTAGGAATGCAATGATGCAGACTGGGTTGGAACTCTGGCTCTGGAACTTACTGTGTGTCTTTACACAAGTCACAACCTTTCTGGGCTCCAGTTTCTTCATCTGTAAGTGGGACTAATTATACTGATAGCCTAGAGGTGTTAAAAGGATTAAATGAGATAATACATGTAAAATAGTTGGTTAATACCCAGCACATAGGAAATCCTAAATAACATTAGTTATTGATTTTGTGAAGAGACGAACACTGAGCGGTTGTGTCCGCATTGCCGACCTCCAACAGCAGTCGGCTTCTGCACGTAGAACCCGGGAGTAGGAGACTCAGAATCGAATCTCTTCTCCCTCCTCCCTCCTGTTTTCGGCTTTGTGACAAACCTTATCATCAAACACAATGGCCAGCAACGTTACCAACAAGACAGATCCTCGCTCCATGAACTCCCGTGTGTTCATTGGGAATCTCAACACTCTCGTGGTCAAGAAATCTGATGTGGAGGCAATCTTTTCAAAGTATGGCAAAATTGTGGGCTGCTGTGTTCATAAGGGCTTTGCCTTCGTTCAATATGTTAATGAGAGAAATGCCCGGGCTGCTGTAGCAGGAGAGGATGGTAGAATGATTGCTGGCCAGGTTTTAGATATTAACCTGGCCGCAGAGCCAAAAGTGAACTGAGGAAAAGCAGGTGTGAATCGATCTGCAGCGGAGATGTACAGGTCAGTAACAGAACACCCTTCTCCGTCCCCTCTACTCAGCTCCTCTTTTGACTTGGACTATGACTTTCAACGGGATTATTATGATAGGATGTACAGTTACCCAGCACGTGTACCTCCTCCTCCTCCTATTGTTCGGGCTGTAGTGCCCTCGAAATGTCAGCGTGTATCAGGAAACACCTCATGAAGGGGCAAAAGTGGCTTCAATTCTAAGAGTGGACAGCGGGGATCTTCCAAGTCTGGAAAATTGAAAGGAGATGACCTTCAGGCCATTAAGAAGGAACTGACCCAGATAAAACAAAAAGTGGATTCTCTCCTGGAAAACCTGGAAAAAATTGAAAAGGAACAGAGCAAACAAGCAGTAGAGATGAAGAATGATAAGTCAGAAGAGGAGCAGAGTAGCAGCTCCGTGAAGAAAGATGAGACTAATGTGAAGATGGAGTCTGAGGTGGGTGCAGATGACTCTGCTGAGGAGGGGGACCTACTGGATGATGATGATAATGAAGATCGGGGGATGACCAGCTGGAGTTGATCAAGGATGATGAAAAAGAGGCTGAGGAAGGAGAGGATGACAGAGACAGCGCCAATGGCGAGGATGACTCTTAAGCACATAGTGGGGTTTAGAAATCTTATCCCATTATTTCTTTACCTAGGCGCTTGTCTAAGATCAAATTTTTCACGAGTTCCTCTCCCCTAGTATCTTCAGCACATGCTCACTGTTCTCCCCATCCTTGTCCTTCCCATGTTCATTAATTCATATTTCCCTGCGCCTAGTCCCATTTTCACTTCCTTTTTGATGCTCCTAGTAGTTTTGTTAAGTCTTACCCTGTAATTTTTGCTTTTAATTTTGATACCTCTTTATGACTTAACAATAAAAAGGATGTTTTTTAAAAAAAACATTATTATTATTATTACCACCATGCTGAAGAAAATTGGCTCTTCAAAATAATGCCCATGATTTTCTATTACTTTTTAAAAGAGGTTAGCCAAAATTTCACAAAGAAGGTTTTAGATGCAAAACTTTAGTAGCTAAATATTTCCTTTTATCTAACTTAATTTATCCAGAAGAAAAATAATAAATTTAAATTATGTGTGGTCTGTTGAGCTAGTTACTATGTTCTATCTATATAACATAATGCCAGTCAAAATTTAAAAGCCATAGCTTTTCATTGAAGATTCTTGTCTGAGTCTGTTTTCTGTTGCTTATAATAGAATATCGAAAACTGTGTAACTTATAAAGAAAAGGAATTTATTTCATATGGTTATGGAGACTGAAACGCCAAAGGTCAAGGGACTGCACCTGGTGAGGGCCTCTAGCTGGTGAGGGTTCTCTGCAGACTTCCTAGGCAGCACAGAGCGTCACATGGTGAGGGGGCTGAACATCCTACCTTGGGCCTCTCTTCCTCTTTTTATAAAGCCACCAGTCCCACTCTCATGATAACCCATTAATCTACTGACCCATTACTCCATGGCTGGATTAGTCCATTCATGAGGGCAGAGCCTTTATGACCCATCACCTCTTAAAGGGCCCAAGACCCCACCTCTCAATACTGCCACACTGGGGATTAAATTTCAACATGAGTTTTGGAGGGGAGAAATATTCAAACCATAGTCATTTGTAAGTAAAAAAAGAAATCAGCTGTTTTGTGATAAATAAAGTTGCTCACCATTCTTTCCCCTTTGGAAAATGCTCAAAGCATCGCTTATCCCATAAAATCAGCAGAATATGTTTGCAATCATCTGTCCAGCCTCCCAATGCCTTCAAGCTATTCTCCACTGCTTTTCTATTTTATGTATGGGCCCCAGCGATTTCATATTCCTCAGAGAGGTGGGTGAGAGCACAGAAGCAGAAGTTTACACCTCTGAAACTTTGCTTTTAAACTGAAAAGATATCCATGTGTCACACTGGCTTGCATTTCAGGTTTATATTTCCATCTGAAGCTTTGGAAACAAACCACAACTTCTACCAAAGCCTCTATAGTTAATTTATATGTCATCCTTATGTCACCAATGGTTGCTTTAAAAATAAGGGAACACTCACCCTCTTTGAAAAGCTGGGTGGAAGGTTTAGTGGTGGATAGCTTATCTCAGAAGTCAGAGGTCAGTGGCCAAAATTCATGGTGACCAAAAACATTCCAAAATGCTGCCAGTAAGGCCATGCTTAGTTTCTTCCTCTGCTCTACTGAACACTGTGGACATATACACTCAGGATTGTTGGGATGGATGATACTGGTTAAACGAGTCCTTCTTGGACACAGCTTTTGTGGAATGTGAGCACCAAACACTGAGAAGGTCTTGTCTATAACTGATGCATGGAATGACCCATACGTTTTTTGGTTCGGGATTCTTTTTTTTTTACCTACTGTGTGTTATCCTTTTCTCTGATAGTGACCAGTCACATTCTACTGGTCACTGTTAGTCTCACAGTTGTTGAAGTGGCTTTGCCAACTGAGCTAATCTAGAAACATAGTTTCCTGGGATTGCCTTCCCAATATAGTTCTGAGTTAGAGTGGACCAGGAGAAAAATTGGGGCGGGGCTTGGGAAGTGGAAGTGAAGCAACGAAGTTTGGTAGGACCAGGCACTGTTACCACTGGTGTACACTGGCACTGACTGTGCCCTCAATCACATCGGGGTCACCACCTGAGACGTGGGTCTCACCACCCGCAGAAGTCTGACCTGACTCAACGACGAATGGCTGAATGCACTCTCACACCATTACAGTGTTTCAAGTGGGCTAGGGATGGCTGTTGGCTGCTTTCTGAGGGCGAAATGCAACCAATCCACCCAGACCCTGTCTGTGACACATTTATTCCCTCAAAATGTTACAACAGAGGTTCTAAGTTAACACACTTGTGGATACTTAACATGGTTAAAACAGTGGTTATATGAATGATAAAAGCTTTAGGTTCCAGGCCCAGAGTAAACAGGATTAACAGGCAATCCCCCCTGAGACAGCTATAGCACAAAATTAACATGAGGAAACAGTTGAGTGGAGACAAAAGGGTGTGGGGTAAGGAGACTTAACTGGGAAGGTCTTTGATCATCTCTATCTCTCCCTTAATTTAATGGACTGGCCAGCCCACCTTTGGCCTGCCCCTATAAAACCCTTCGGCCTTCCAAAAGGTTTGAGACTAATCTATAACTTTCCCTAATATATCTTTAATATTTTCTGTAATATTTTGCCAACCACCCTGAGCAAATTCCAACAACTGACCCACTGGCACACCTTGTTGGTGTGGGGAAGCAGCAGGCTGCAGCAACTCCAGCTCTGACAAGATCTCCTTCTTCAACTTCTCCAAGTCCTAGTTCAGGTATGTGCATACTTTCATGGCTATGGATGCCAGCTCCTTCTCCAGGTTGGAGGCAGTAAGAGACAGATGCAGGTTCCAGTAAGTCTTCATGGGTTTCAGTCTGACCTAGGGATTCAAGTTAATCCTTGCAGGTTCAAGTTTGTTCTTGCTTTCCCCGACACCACATACACCACTTTTTCCCAGCTGTGGGCCCTGAATATCTACAGTGACTTCAGGCTGCTATAAGTGCAGAGACAATAGCCTTCCATAGACTTCTTCCCCTGTGTAAGGTATATGGATGTGCTCTGGTCAAGGAATAGGCCAAGGTGGACATCCAGGCTTGCATGACTCAACGAGTTTGGCATGCAGGCACACACCTCCACTTGTTATATAACCTGTTTGTGTAAATTCATACTTGGCTCTAACCCTCTATTGTCTGTAAAAGGTATAATTGTCTTGCTAATGTTGTACAGGGGTTATTGGGGCTCGACTCAGCTCAACATGGCTTAATATGGCGGGCGTGCTGGTGCCCAGAGAAAGAGAGAGAGAGAGCCAAGGCTGTCCATCTTGCAGATGGACAGGAGGGAGCCAGGACACAGCTTGGCCTGCTCGTGCCCAGAGAGAAAAAGAGTTAAGCTACTGACCCTGAAGACAAAGGAGAGCCAGCCACACTGCTGTTTGTGGAATCTGCGGGCTCAAGCACCTGAGACAGGGCAGACAGTGTGAGAGAGCTAGTGTGAGAAAGCTGTTAATAAAAGCTGCTGCTGAAGAAACCATATTCACCTGCCTATGGCCCCCCGAGTGTTCTTTCTGCTCATCCACCCAGCCCTCCTCCATGGGCTGGACCTGAACCTCGGGACCTAACAATTGGTGATGAAGATGGGATGAGATGAGTGGGTCTTCAGCCCCTGAGGGTTTCCAGGTCAGCTTTGTGGCTGCAGCATGGGCTGTGATACCCTGTGGCAGCTGTGCTTTGAGGATGGGCTCCAGTGGAAACACGTGAGGCAGTGGGTGAGTCTCCTGTGAGTATGGAGAAGGCACTGAAGCACCTGGAAGTGCACAGCACCGAGAAGAAGCATGCCTTTGCTGTAGGAGTCAGATGGGTGTTTATAACTGTGCTGTTGGAAGAACATGCCCAGTTTGCTGGACACAGTGCAGGGAGGAGGAAGAACCTCCATAGCAGGCTCGCCCAGTGATCTACCACAAAATAGATCATGAGCAGCTATTGGGCCCCAAGGGTGGGCCCAGAGAC